CCTACTTGAAGGTTACCATCAACACAATTCTACGTGGGCATTTGAAGAAACTTCCTTAGTAACACGGAAGTCACCAAGATCTCAAAATCCCAACCATTTTTCCTATCATACACTTATATATTGAAGATGGAAAAATGGCGTTTGTCAAAAATAAATAGCGAGACAAGATGGCGATATAAAATTTAGCGTTTGTTCAAGTACGACGCAAAGAACTTTTTGAACTGCTAGGTAAACCTAATTTATTTTGAAAAATATTCGACTAATCCAGAAATTATAGTGAGACCAAATTGCCTTCATACAGATAAAAATGAATTCCATAAATACATAAAAAATATATATATAAAGGGGCGTAATACAACGATTCATCTTCTCGCCGGACTTATTAAACCTTGTGACCCAGAGGAAACTAAAAGTCAGGCTATGATTTATTATTGGCGGACACAATCTTAACAACATAAGATACTCAGATGACGCATTACCGTATCAGACACAGAAAGGAAACTGCAGGAATTCCTAGAGGCGTTAGTAAAGGAAAGCGAGAAGAAAGGGCTAAACATCAATTGTAAGGAGACAGAATGTATTGTTGTCAGCAAGAGAAACGGACGGAAATAGCAAAATCAAGAAATTTAAATATCTGGGAAGTGTTTTAACAGAGGACGAAAAATGTGACAGAAACAAAGAAAAAACAGCTAAACTGTTATGTAATATCAGTCCTCGTATATGGCAGTGAATGCTAGACAATCTCTTCACAGAGTAAAAAAAGAACATGTGAGTAACAAGAAAGTTTTAAGGAAAAGGCATGCAGAAAAGGACACTTCTACTAGAAAGCGATAATTAAAATAATGAGGAAAGAATGCTTGGAGAATTTGGCACTCACAGGACATGTTGAAGTTTAGTATGACAGTGGAAAGCAGTGAATAAACTATTCAACGAGTTTGTCTAAATAGATGTCAGAACAGGGAGTGGGATAAATGGCCAAAAGAGAAATCTTACTACGAGCTACAAAAATAGGGAATTGGGAGGAGCTATGATCGCATAAATTCTAAAGGAGGACAACCCATAGAAGAAGAAGAAGAAGAAGAAGAAGAAGAAGAAGAAGAAGAAGGAGAAGAAGACAAAGACACCTTAAAGAAGGCTTTTTTAAAAAAATTATTTCTTGTGATATTAACTACAGGAAATTAACAAAAACAACAGAAAAAAAACAAACCTTGTGACACAATCTGAGAACGAGTGTTGAAGAGAAGACAAAAAAAAAAAAAAAATAGAATTAATCTCTTAAAAAATTCTTAGCGGTACAGAATTTGAGTATTGCTGTAAAGACATTTAGCTGAATATTACTTGGTATAATTAAAACCAATATATATATATATATATATATATATATATATATATATATATATATATATATATATACATACATACATACATACATATATATATATATATATATACATACATACATACATATATATATATATATATATATATATATATATATATATATATATATATATATATATATATATATATAATAAAAAAAAAGGCTCAAACACTAATATTTCATGGTTATAATTTATTACATTGGAATCATTTTTTTATATCGTTTTTTTATATCGTTTTTTTTATATTCTTAGTCTGTCCTGGACATTGAGTTCTACCAGGATTCTATCCTCTTGCGAATTTATATATATATATATATATATATATATATATATATATATATATTGACCACTAATATTATATACATATATATATATATATATATATATATATATATATATATAGGGTGAAAAATGTGAATCCTCTTCTCCTTCCATCTATGGGTAAATAGCGGGACAGACTGGGTTCTATAGCCTTGGATGTCAATTGGTCTAAGAGAAGGACAACTCTGAATTCAAATCTTGCAAAGGGTCGATTGGGGACCCAGTGACACGTACTGCACCAAGTCTCTGTATTCGGCCCTGTCCAAAACCTTCATCACTATAATCAAATCTCATGTGCTGGCGTTGGGCTGTCAGGTTCTTACGATCTGATTTGCTTGACTCTCATACGTTGAATTCGACAGGAGAGCCGAGTATGTATGTATGTATGTATGTATGTATGTATGTATGTATGTAATGAAAGAGAAAAACAATCGGTTTGTTCTCTCGTTCTTCAAGGATTTTTAATCCGGAGTACAAAGTGTAAAATATAATAAATTTAAATTTGCGAATGATTGATGAGAAGAAAAAAGAAAAATTGGGGAGTACTAGAGACTAATTATAGCAAGCCTCAGCAAACAATCACTTTTTGCAGAGAGAAGGTTTGTGAGACTTCAGTACTTTTAAGTGAAATTATTCTCTTGTACCTATTTCCTTTGGAAAGCCAGATTCTAAAAGTTTTGTGAGCGAGGTATGTTTAATTTGCAATGTACGAGGACGTGCTGAAAGCTGATGTTCTAAGCGTAGCTTAGATGTGGCACAAGGCCAAAAGTATGGGGCATCAAGTCAGGATCGAACTTGAAGAAGTGCTGAAAAGTTTTCGGTGCGACTCAATTTCCAAAATCTGGCCAGATGATAAAAAAATCGGTATTTAATGGTCATGTTGAGAATAGCTGTTTCCTTATGAAGAAACATTTGGTATTCGTGAACCGAAAAGTTAGATTTATGGTTTGTTAAAATTTATAAAATCTTTCACTTAAAAAAATGTTTCAAGAAAAAATGTTTCACAAATAAATTAACCGTTATTTCTTTTCTAATAATGAGGTTAGTTTCCTTATTAATTTTTTGTTTAAATTAGTGTGGAAAGTCAACATTTTGATTATGTCATTATTTTCTCTTCGAGTTGCATGTGATATCCATTTTTGTTGCTGCTGCTTTTTGGAAGTCTTCAAGTATTTTGTTTCGGATTCTGTAGTGCCAGTTTATGAGATTTGATAAGGGATAGTTTTCTCTAAGACCTACAGTATTCATTCGCTGAAAGCCATTTTAACCATTGAACTGAGAAAGCGGTTGTATATAGCTGACTGTTTAGATATTTCTGAATGAGTTGGATGCCATGTATGACATCCATATAATTTTTTTGATATAAAGATCATGATCCGAACTCTTAGGTTAATATTTTGGTTTTGTAGCATCTTGTGGTATTGGGAAAAACTACCCTTGGATTATTCTGTGGTTATTTAGGAAACAGATCCATGCTTAATCGCTTTACCTGTGAAAATTTAAAGAATTTACTATTTGAATTTTCTTATCAATCATAATTCTTAATTTTATGACTGAATAAGTATAACCCCCTGCGGGTTCAACGACTATAACATACTGGAAGAAATTCTCCAATAGCATCATTAAATACAGTAGAATTTCTCATACCCGGAATACCTCATATACGGAATCCCTCATAATCGGAGTGCCTCTTTTCCGGAATCCCGCATATTCTGATGTGTATATTTGAACTATTTGGGTGATGATATGTAACTGATGTGAAATTTCTGTTTTTCAGGAAATTTACTTTGGATAATTGCTTATGCTTATTTCACCCTAATGGCTTAGGAATAAGAGGAAAAGATCAACTTTGGAGTTATCGCAAAAAGTGGAAATTTTAAACATAGACTAGACGCTGGTGAAAGTTCATTGTAATTAATGGCTGAATTCAACATAGGAAAGACAACATTGTATGATATAAAATCTTCCAAAGAAACTATTCTCCAGCGTTCACACTGTCACAATGAACAAGGAAATAAAAAAAAATTATGAGTGTGATGAAACCTGGACTGAAATTGAAAACGCTATTGAAAAGGTTGTCAGTTTTATGGAAAGAAAGCCAACATTCAGCTATGACGATTGCAATAATATACGCAGAGTTAAAAAAAAAAGTGTCTTTCATTTAAAAATCTCAAGAACAAAAGCAAAACGAAATGCGAAAAAGTTGAGAATGACATTGGAAAAGAAAGAATCATCATGCAACAGCGATTAAAAAATCCTCATTACATTATTTGTTTTGCATACGTGGCAGAATTAATTTAATGGATTTTCATTAACATTACATAATTTATTTCTTTTTCCTTAAAATCAATTCCATTATATTTCACTCACCATTAGCTTATTTTGTTTACTATAAAACATTGGAAATAAATGTTAAACCTGATTTCAGTTCTTTTATTTTAATCTAAATATAACTCCTCATATCCGGACTTTGTAACCAATTCCTTATATCCGGAAGGCCTTCTTAGTCCGGTTGTCAGTGATTCTACTGTATTTGAACTTAGGAACTTTAACCAGATATTGAAATAACACTCTTAGGTATTAATGCTGTTCATTATTTAAAGATGTAAGAGGGTGCAAATGGAAAAAAATTCAAAACTGAAGCAGACTTTAAACTCATGAGAGCATTATCGCCACCACTTTCTTTCTTTCTTTCTTTCTTTCTTTCTTTCTTTCTTTCTTTCTTTCTTTACAACCAAACAATGCTTTTGATATATATATATATATATATATATATATATATATATATATATATATATATTATCTATCCTCAGACAATCAGGAATGGACCGATGCTTATTTGTGCTAATATCAGGGTGTAACGTGCGCGATAAAGACTTTCCCACTATATACAGTTGCAGTGATATCGCAAATAAGAAGTGGGAAATAATTGTCTGCGCTTAGTTTTCATTGAATTTTGCAATTCAACTGGTTTCAAATCTGACGTTATTGAATGCGCCTTCTATTACAAACGGAAGTGATTCATAGGCTTGAAAGCAAGACCTCTAAGCAGCAGTCCCCAAATTGTTTATAAAAAAAAGTTCAAGATAAGATATCGCCAGTCATGCATTCGTATGGTTATTCTCCACAAAACAATTATCATGAATAAATCATAATTCTAAATGTAGAAGGCATGACTGAGCGTTAGTGTTATGGCCGCAAAGATATAACAAATCGTAAGAAGCAATGCGTAAGAGAAAGAAGAGGAGGAGGAAATATACGATGTAAAGGAGTAAGCATGAGAGACAAACATTGAAGCTAGAGGGGATGAAATAAGGGAGGAAAAATTGGCAAAGAGAGAGAGAGAGAGAGAGAGAAGCTATTATCTAGAGAGAGGAATAAGAAATACGAGCTGAAAACCAGATATTGTGAAGAAGAAGAAGAAGAAGAAGAAGAAGAAAGGGAAGAAAAACGACTAAATGGTAGAAGAGAGAAAGGAAGGGGTAGAACGTGTTAGAAGATAGAGACGATGTCAGTGAGACATACAGACAAACAGAGAAGCAGAGAGAAAAACAAAGAGGAAGATAGAAAAAAGATAGATAGATAAAAGAGAGATATAGAGGGATAGAGAGAAATGGGCAGAGACAAAAGCGACAAAGAAACTAATAGAGACAAAAGGATATAAAGACAAAGAAAGAAAAACAAAGCAAGTGAAAGGAAGAATAGAAAGAAAGAAAGAAAAATAAAGAAAGAAATAGTCATAAAAAGAGAGACAGAGAGGGAAAGAAGAACGAGTCAAAGAGAGTGTCAGATACAGAAAGAGAGATAGTGACAGAAAGAAAAGGAGACAAGGAGATAGGGAGACAGAAAAAGATAGAGAGGACGAGGAAATGTTTGGTAGGCATTCTAATGTTATTGTTCGTATAACTTTGCTTGTATATTTCTTGCGATTTTTTCATTCTTATTTTTTTTTCAGCCACACAGACAATTCTATGCATTTTCCCATAATTTTGTATGTATTTACACGTTATCTTGTATATGTGATTGTAAGCAGCATATATGTTTAGCTGTAAATGGGGTGAACAATTGCATGTATCTGTGCGTTTACATGCGCTGGTGCGTCTATATTGACCTATGTGTGCATGTGGTGTATATATGTGCGTGCATGGCTATCTATGTATGCGTTACGTGCATATAATGTATTTTAGCGTATGAATATTAACAAATACACGTGTTTGCGTAGGTTAGCATGTATGTATGTTTATATGTATATGAATGTATGCATGTGTGTAGTGGTTAGATATGGATTTGTAATCCCTGTATGTGTGATTGCATTATATATATATATATATATATATATATATGTGTGTGTGTGTGTGTGTGTGTGTGTGTGCATAGATGTGTGTTCTGTGTGTGTGTGTGGAATTTAAAAGAAGAAAACAGCAGGGATCCGATTGTAAGATGGAAAATTTTAAAGGGGTGAAGTCTTACAACAACCACAGTAACTTTTGCAACCTCTGCCACAATGACATTTCCGGATCCCCCCCCAAAAACCTTTTGAACCAGAGATCTGAAGTCATGAGCCGTTGCATACATACAAAACGGTCCTAAGTTTTAAGGTATGCTATATATATAATAAAAATAGATTTAAAATATGCCATATTTATGGGTTAAAATTCTCAATATATAGAGCGTATGTAAATATAAAAGTGGACATTGAAGTCCAACACCCAATGTTTAATATATATATATATTATACCTATTATTAGTGGGAACCTGCATTTGAACCGTTTATTTTTACATTATTTATTTCGACTAACAGTCTCCGTGCACGAGAAGAGAGGACATATTTTCTTTATTAAGTATTCTTGGCTACGCCGGCCGGTAGACGAAATAAATACTGTTTAAAATAAACGAAATATCTACTCAAATACGGGTATCTGCTAATAATAATTTTTGAAGAAATAAAAATATGCCGAATTAAAAAAGTCAATTAATTTTTTAAAACCCATACTCGCTTGATATATAAGAAAGTACGAATGAGTGTGTCTGTGGTTTGGGAATTTATTTGTCTTCTCAGAAGGACAAATGTAACACTAGATCCGATTTAATATGGATCCTATACGTGTACGAATGTGTAGAGGAAAATTTGCCCCATCTTCGCAGCATGTGCGTCAATTCTCTTCTTTTCTTTTTCTTTCTTTCTTTTTCTTTTTTTTTTTAGTATAACAGATCCTTCTCCAAATTTGGAATCTCCCGGGAGCATGCACGCTTCTGTTAATTTCTGTGTTATGACTGGCCTAATGATGAGGCCGTTCTGGGGATATTTGTGATCATTCAAGATTGATGGATAGAAAGACAAAATAAGACAAAATAGATACCAAATAAGAACAAAGTGAAAAGGAAGTTGATGGAGAGGAAGTAAGAGAATGTACTGTTATGTTCTACAAATGATCAATCATTGCTTGAGTTGTCTTTCTGGCCCCCCAAAAGCCACTACGTTTGCATCAACCGACCTTGACTTAACCAACTCTTCTTATAAACAGACGCACATATACACATATACGCACAAACATCTTTATAAATAGATATGATCTTTAGTTTTTAATGCAACTAAAATATAGATAGGGGAAAATGGGAAGAGAATGTTGTTCCGATGTGTTGCCTTGAGAAATTAACATTTAAGTTCTGGTTTTAACTTAAATTTGTTTGGTTTGGTTTGGTTTGTTTTACGGCATATCAACCTCAATGGGTTATTTAATGCCGACAAGATTTTTTTTATATATTTGAATTGCATAGGTTGTTCTCTTCAAAACCTGTCGTCCAGTTCGTTTGAGCGCTCGCAACTTAACACTAATCCTCCATAAACTTGGGGCTGTATCCCGATGTATTATCGTGGATATAAACACCACAGCAGTAAACCAACTTCCATTCCCTTTGGTAATCAGAGACACCACTTGCAAGTAAGGTGGGCTTGACCATTGAATCACGCCCAATTACGCTTCCACCGTTTAAAAAACGGAAATATAACGTTTATACTAGTAACACACACATACAGTCATATATACATATATATATATATATATATATATATATATATATATATGTGTGTGTGTGTGTGTGTGTGTGTGTATATGTTTTGAACAATAAAAAATATTAAAAAATTAAAATCTTCTTACAAACTTGCTTGTATATTAATATTCTTTCGTTTTTATTATTTCAGTTAGATTCCTCGACTAGTTTCGGCCAACATGGCCATCATCAGGAGATAAAAAATTTCTGCCTGTTAGTAGCAGTGAACTACAGAAATGAATGTCTTGATGAAGAAAATAAACTTTTGTCTGTAGTTTTCATTTGTTTTTTTTTATTTTTTAACATGAATTTTGGTCACTCCTTGTGTTGGTCAAACAGTATCTTTTAAGTTGTTATTTAAAGAGAAGAGCTGGATGGATTAATGCTGCTCTGAATGCCCTTGGTCATATATATATATATATATATATATATATATATATATATATATATATATATGTATGGAAAGAGAGAGAGAGAGAGAGAGAGAGACAGACAGACAGACAGACAGACAGACAGATCTTTTTTCTTCTAAAATATGCTGGTAGTATTCACTGTAAAGAGAATACATACACAGTACACGACTAGATACAATGGGCTATTAGAGCATAGCCCATTGTATCGGCCATTACTGTAGATACCAAAGAATGATGCTAATTCTATCCCTCTTTGATCAATGAGAATTTGCTGTCTGGAGGACGAATCACTGGTCCCTAATATCATATATATTTTCTGTTTGCTTTGTCCTCGGCTATTTTTCGTCCTAGATCCGGCAGCAAGGCCTCTGCTGCTCGGGAGATTGAAGGTTTTGAAGAGCGTATAACCACCTCTTAATTGCTGTTGTTCCCGGTTTTATCCTGATCCGAGGTGGTAGCACCTGTTAGGCTCCCAGCTATGGACAAATAGTGAACCCCAAACAAAAGTCAAAACACTAGCAAACTAAAAGTACATTTTTATATAAAGCATACCAGCAATACATTTTTATATTAAAAAAAATTACCAACAATACATTTATGTAGTGAAATGACTAGTAATCAGCAATACATTTTTAAATTAAAAAATTACCAGTAATATATATTTATAGTAAAATGACCAGCAATACACTTTATCTTAACTGAAGGCACGCAATTGCATTCAAAATATTTAGATTTCGATATTAATAACCCATAGAGATGTTGATATGCCGTTAAACAAAACCAACCAACTAACCAACTCAGCTATCTTGTATAAAGAAAAACACTTGCGTCAATATCTGAGAAAATAAATGAAAAAGTTAGAAATATATTTGAAAAACTCACCATACGTAGTCAATTTGTACAAACATCAATTGAGAATCGTGGATTTTACAAAAAGACAGTCCAGGCCGCAACGCCCCCCCCTCATCCAGTGTGATATAAGAACACTCCCTGCAGACTATTAAAACGATATTTAAAATAATGTATGAACAACAAACGTGTTATCTTCCTTGTCTATTTTCGCATAGATTATCTCGGAAGAAATCTAATCGGTAATAATCATTTTGAAATGTCCTTAAGATATTTCTCGGTTTGGTAGTTATGGATACCAAAAAAATTCCCCACCACACAGAGATGACGTAACACGCATCAAATGCATTATTTTAAAATTGTATTTTCATGGCAATTGATCTTAGGATCTTTGGTACACCGACTTCATGAATTTAAGTGTAGTACTAGATTGGTAGTTACAACTCATCATTTAACGGTTCAAATTGCTTGATATAACCGTAAGTTCTGTTCAAATAGTTTCGCATTTCTTTTATGATGAGCTCTCTTCCCGCTTCTTGCTTTCCTGTCAACTACGATCTTCAAAAATTTAAATGCAATGTTAATCACGAGTTTCTTTTGAATCCTGTTACTTATTGTCCTTTCTTCTCTATAACGTTTTCCCAGTTCCCTTCACTCAGTAACCCCTTGTGTCTTAGTGTCTTGGTCGCTTTGCTTGGGGTTAAATGATTATAAAAAAAATGATTACGTTATTGCACAAGTTCATAGAATATCTATATGTCGTTATTACGATTTTCGATGGTTAAATATCATAAGTCGAACCAAATGTAGATTTTACAAGAACTTTTTCTTTTATATGCCATAGCTTTTCAGGACAGGAATCATTATGATTCTTCATAACTTCCTTTCTTTTGTTGTTCTAAGGAACTTCTGACTCGTTACCATCTGTTTGTCGTTGTTCTGCCATTCATTCACACAAGCGTTAAGTAGTTTACTCGCTGTTTTCCCTGCTTCTTCTGCTCTCAGTATGCCTTGCGTTTATATGTCCTGTGCTTAAACGTCTTGCAACTATTAAATTCTCTAGATTCTTCTTCCTTGTTATGTATCTCAATAATTTCAAGGATTTCTTTCCGATTGTTAACCGTAGTTTTCCCTTTGATCCTATTCCTGCTATTCGTAGTGAGATTCCAAACCCGGATCCAACATTCTAACCACACAGCCATGTACTCATTTGATACATACATACACTACAGCTCAAAAGCTTAAAGCCGCCCTCAGAATTAACATAGAAAGAATTTGAAAGAAGAGTGAAAAAAAAATGAAATAGAGCTCTTGGAGTATCTGTCTATCATCAAGGTCACATGGCACAGTGGATAAAGGCGTTAGTTAGATACAGTGACAAGACCCAAAAGAGTGTGAGTTCAATACTTGGTTAAGGTGGTGGAGAACTTGGAGAGGGGAATTAACAGGAGATAACTGACATACATTAGACATGTCACGTGGGACGAGAACAGTCTACGCCAGCGAGCGAAATAAAGGGTTCAGTTTGACATTCCAACCACCTGAAGAAGGCCGGAGCGTACAACGGCTGAAACGTTGTGATAAATATGGCAACGAAGATGAGGGCGATAATCCGGATAATGTAAATAGAGCTCCTAGAGTAAATGAACAAAGAATGGAATCAATTATCAAACGTATATTTTGAGAAACTTTTGCAACGAATGGCAAAAATTTATGCTGCAGTAATCAAGGCTAAAGGAGGATATTTTGGCGAGAACAAAATGCAGTCATAAAATGCTTTTTTCCTTTTTGTCATAATGAAATTTCTAATAAAAGTCTTGTCTCGTTTTTTTTTTTTTTTTTTTAACCAAATATAATAATTTTCTATTATTTAGAGTACAAAACAACTACTTTTGTGGCAAATTTTAAAAAATACTACGGGTAGCCTCAAACTTTTGAACTGTAGTGTGCATACCTACATACATACATACATACATGTGGGTGGCGTCTAGTTGTCGAGTATGGCCATTACTTGATATCACTGTAAGGCTTATCCGTGCTTTAAACGAATATGACCCTTTCAGCGGATAAAATTTTAAAACGTCTCGCACAAGCCTTCGTTGGTTATGGTTGCTTCTTTCGGCTATGACCAATCATTCAATGCTTGTGCATGGATTTTTTTTTAATTGGAAGAAGACATTGCTGTGGGTCAATTCGAACCTCGTAGCAAGAACAACAAGTACTCAAAAAGAAGAGCCAGTAAACATCATTGGCTATCTTCACGAGGGTTAAGGATTCCAACACTCCGAGTGTTCTTACATACATACATACATAATGATGTGCTCTGCTAGTTAATCTATACCTGGGGGGAGAGACAGATCACACCTTTCTCAAAGGTATTTTTGCGAAAATTCGAACTCGGCTCACCGACTTCTCTTTCCGATATCAGAACCGTTGTAACTACCCACACACATCTATCTATCTATCTATCTATCTATCTATCTATCTATCTTTTTTTTTAATCATTTCACTGCAAGGAAGGCAATAAAGCCATTAAGACCCAAGAAATTACTAAGTGTTAGGGAACATGAGAAAATATACTGGGTGGTCTGAAAGTCTTGTTACTTGTTCAAAAGTAATGAGAGCAATAGTAATATAGTCATGCAAAGCACATGTACTGGATTTAGATTATTCACTTTCATTGACGCTGTTACACAACAAGGGGGTCTGTATGAATAGTAACATTTTCGTATCAGCTATCTGAAATAGAAAAATATATTATGTAGGGCTGAAAAGACAGTATAAGGGCAATAATTCAGATGCCAGAAGATAAGGATTGACATTGCATTCAATTTTTGTAGATCAAAGTTGACTGGGAAGAAAGAAGCCATAAGAGAGTTCCATAAGCGACAAGTGCGATGGAAGAAACTGTTAGCATAGAACTTACGGTTGCATTAAGCCATTTCAGCTGTAAAATGATGAGACCTTGCTGCCAGTCTAGTACTGCGCTTAAATTCATAAAGTCTAGGTAACACAGTGGAAAGTTCATCAGAACAATTACCATGAATTATTCTATCTATAAATTGTTACTCTATCTATCTATCTATCTATCTATCTATCCAAATAGACTCAGATAGATAGATAATAAACGGCCTGAGATAGATAGATAGATAGATAGATAGATAGATAGATAGATAGATAGATAAATAGATAGGAGAGAGGAAGGAAGGAAGGATACTTGATACTTTTTTCCACCTACACCACCTCCCGAAAGATAGCAATGGATGACCTTTGCGTCAACCCTCTTCTCCTCAATAAAGCCTGTAAAAGAACATTTCTCCGACTGTTCCCACGCCTCCTTTTTAACCAGATTGGCTGTTATTTATGTGTCTTATTGGTCTGGGTCAAGAGAAATACTTCGAATAGAACATTGAACTTAGGAAAGAATTAAAGCTGCAACACGTAAATATCCAATCTCAACGAGGAATGAACAGTAAGACAATATGGCCTCAGATGCCAGCATGGCTATACGCATGTGCCTGCATGTAAGCACATATCTTTCTGTATATCTATCTTTTCAACTACCTTACTTTGTTCCTTTCTATTTGTCCCTACCTTTTCTTTTCTTTTCTTTTATTCATCTATCTATCTATCTATCTATCTATCTATCTATCTATCTATCTATCTATCACAATTAATCCCACCCTTTGGGAAAGGTATAAATCTATCTATTCTCATCCAGCTATGGGTTAATTAGCAGGATTTATATATGGAAAAATCACTATCTCCAAAAACTTGTTAATGCAATATCCACTGACAAAAATGAATTATTCTTACAAGTAGGTTTCAGCTTCAATCAAATAATTCACAAAGGGTTCACAAACGTTATTTAGAACTAGGAATGACAGGAAGATGTGGAAAGCCATAATCACGCGTGTCCTCAGGTGATACCGCACATAAAAGAATATCCCAGTGTATTCATATCTATCTATCTATCTATCTATCTATCTATCTATCTATCTATCTATCTATCTATCTATCTAAACCTGTGCGTTTGTGTAAAAACACTTTGACAGAGATGATGATGATGATGATGATGATGATGATGATGATGATGATGATGATGATGATATAAAAAAATAAGTATAACGGATAAAGCTATGAAAACGGGGATTTTACAAGTATCGCAGCAGATAAAGGAAAATTTGCATTTCTCTCTTGGACCGAGCACGAATCATATGATAAAAATTAAACATAATTGTATGAGAATTATATTATTATTATTATTATTTATATATAAAAAATTACCAAACAAATAAATAAAATTCAACAGACAAGAAAAGGGATGTCTAAACTTGCTTAACGTCAGAATCACATTAGATAAGCTTCAGGTATTTAAACGGCAAAAGACATAAACCATCCCCTGTAACCTTTGGTTGACACGGAATTTCTTTAATCATTCAACACTAAAGAGCAATATTTCACTGAAATTAGAAGTTAAATTCTTTGATATTTTTTACTCACCATGAACATTAAATTCACGTATTAATTCACTGTGGTTGAAGTAAATAATAAAATTATTTAATATTAAGCAATACCTATTTAATATTAAGTAATATTAAGTAATACTTAATATTATGAAAAATTATTATATTACTTAATAGAGCAAGCAGTTAGCTATATAACTCAAAAATAGTAAGTAATAGTAAATAATTCTCAAGCTTGACATTTTTCTTATTTATCTTAACTGGGATAAAAAAAAAGCAACCAATATATTTCAATGAATAGAACAGAAAATAAGCTTTATCATTACGATCAGTGATAGCCTTTGTTGAGTTAACTTTCTTTCCTCTTCTCTAATTAGTATGGACCACGCTTGGTCGGTTATGTGATCCTTAACAGCCACTGAGGAGCATATCAGTTTGTACAGAGAAGAGTTTTAAGAGCGACACAGTGAAGAGTGGATGCTTCTCTACCATGTGGAAAAAGTATAGACTTTTACATAATGACGTGGTGGGATTGTGAGTAAAGATAGAATTTTATAATATTCACTAGCCTTGCTTTTTCAGGGAATGTGAGAATGCATGTAAAATATTTATAAACTTTGTTAGCATGTTTTGTTTCTATAAAATAAAACCTTTTATGTAATGTCTTCCGACTTTCCTAGCCATATTTTTTTTCATGTTTGGTTACGGCGGGTACAACTGACGTTGCCACATATTTGGTAAACCCCAATACCTTCATATATTAAACATGGAGCAAACAGTTACCTATATAACTTAAAAATAGAACGGACAATATCGCTTTGAAGTATTGGTTAATACATAACGATTTTACAAGATATACGTAATAGGATCATCGCCAAGTGGTCTGTAAATTTGTCCTTTAAGTGAGATTTAGCTGATTCCTTCTACCATTTGTCTACGACTTCAATATTGCTACCACATATGGTCCGGTGTTCTTTCAATATTGCTACCACATATGGTCCGGTGTTCTTTCAATATTGCTTCAATATTGCTACCACATATGGTCCGGTATTCTTTCAATATTGCTTCAATATTGCTACCACATATGGTCCGGTGTTCTTTCAATATTGCTTCAATATTGCTACCACATATGGTCCGGTGTTCTTTCAATATTGCTTCAATATTGCTACCACATATGGTCCGGTGTTCTTTCAATATTGCTTCAATATTGCTACCACATATGGTCCGGTGTTCTTTCAATATTGCTTCAATATTGCTACCACATATGGTCCGGTGTTCTTTCAACATTGCTTCAATATTGCTACCACATATGGTCCGGTGTTCTTTCCATATTGCTTCAATATTGCTACCACATATGGTCCGGTGTTCTTTCAACATTGCTTCAATATTGCTACCACATATGGTCCGGTGTTCTTTCCATATTGCTTCAATATTGCTACCACATATGGTCCGGTGTTCTTTCTGTATATCTACAGATTCTTGATAAATTGGTCCTCACCTGGCGTCTCGGATTCAGTCTCTTTCTCCCCTACTTCTCTCTGCTTTTTCTATAAATACTTTCATGGTAATTATTCAGACGAACTCTTTCGCTATGGTACCTAGACTTTATGAATTTCAGCGTAGTACTAGATTGGTGGCGAGGTCTCATCAATTCACAGTTGAATTGGCTAGATGCAATCGTAACAGTTACGTTTCTCGCACTTCTCGCTTGTGGAACTCCCTTCCAGCTCGATGCTTTCCAGACAACTTTTATCTTCAAAAATTCAAATGTAATGTCAGTCATTATCTATTGTCTTCTTGATAAATCTTCTATTGTGGATGGGCCTTAGTAATGTTTCTCTTTTTCCTTATTTTTTTCACACGCAGTAACCCCTTGTGTCTTAGTGGCTTTTACGGGGTGATCTGATTAAAAAAAAACAATTCAAAAGAAAAAAAAACAACTGAATTAACATTTATAGCCATTTTTTCGCAACAGAAATAATTAAAAGATATTTCTACAAGACTTTCTTGGAAATCGTCATCATTATTTAGCAAAGGGAATTGATATTAACATACCTAATGAAATAACGACTTTGTCGGTCTTAAATGCTATATCTTTAAGCAAGTGCATTTCAGTCCAATTTAATATCATTCGTGATCCAAATGTAGTCAGTGCATCAGTGGCAGAATGTAACTTTGAAACCGAAGCATAAAGTCCATGATGATAGTTATTGATTACAAGAGAAATCTGAGAAAATTATAAAATCAACATTGACATATTCTAAACTTATTTGTTCGGAAATTAACCCAATTCTTACTTTCTTATTGACAAATTCATCGATCACTTAGAAATGATTGATTGATTAATTTGTTTTTACGGTGTGTTATTTGAAGCCTAAATATATTTTGGATTGTAAGAATAATTCATCTATGCTAGTGAATATTGCTTTAACAATGTTTTATTGCGTTAATATTGTTTTAATATTCCTTTAAAATATTTTGAGAATGACAATAATTTTCTAGATACAATTGCCGCAAAATTATCAAATGTTGAACACGCCCCTCCTCCGCTGAATGTGTCATATGGAGAGTGAAGAAGACACAGCATTTTCTGATATGGTTTGGTTGATATTGTTTAGCGGCATATCAACATCTATGGATTATTTAATGCCGAAATCTAAATATTTTCTATGCAGTTTTATGGTTTCAGCTACATATCTTTTGAACAAAGTTTTATGCCTTCAACTACAAATATTTTGCACATAACTTTATACTTTCAGGGTAAATGTACGTTTTTTTATATACAAGGTGTCCCCAAAAAATCATTTCGCAGGCCAATAATTTTGGCAATTCTTGTTGAAATAACCTCAAATTTTCACAGAATGTATAGAAGCAGATCAAGATTTTATATTTAATGGAAGAGGAGAGTACGTGCTTATCTCAATGAGAATCTTCTAGAGAGATGGATCAGGCGTGTTGGAGATGAAGTTTTCTGATGAAATGATTGCCGCGGTCACCGGACTTATCCCCGTGTGATTTCTTTTTATGGAGATATGTGAAGGGACTGGTTTATGCCCCCTCTTTCTGTTAGTATTGATGAACTCAGGCAGAGAATCACTTCTGCACTGGATAATGTTACCGGAGACATGCTACGGCGTGTTTGGCAAGAGCTTAACTACCGACTTGACGTGTTCCGTCACAGGCGGTGCACATATTGAACTGTTATGAAATCGGTCCCATAATAAACATGATGTTCAACACCTAAACTGTTCAATTTCATTGAGCTAGACAAGGTAGTTTTTAAGATAATTGCTTTTAAAATTATGTCATTTTTTTTTGGGGGGGGGACACCAAGTACACAGTTTTTAGATGATAAAAATGTATTGCTGGGAATTTTACTATAAAAAAATATTTTTTATACTTTTTTTTAGAGTTGCATTATTGATAATTTTATTATAAAATGTATCGTTGGTCATTTTACTATGAAAATGTATTGGTAATTTTTTTGAATAAAAATGTATTGCTGGAATTTTACTATAAAAATGTATTTTAAATACTGTCATAGTGCTTTGATTTGGGGGGGGGAATTCACTGTTTTTCCATAGCTGGGAGCCTAACAGGGGCTACCACCGGGGGTCAGGTTGAACCTGGAAACAACAGCAATTAAGAGGTGGTTCCACGCTCCCCCAAAACCTCCAATCTCCCGATCAGAGGCCTTGCTCCCGGATGTAGTTTATCGTCATATCCAGTACTAATGCATTTTTTCCACGATGATGAATGGGCCAGTCGTGAATTTCAGGGAGTTCTTAACAATATGGGATCGAATATAGTGGGTGCAACAGACTTCGTCAGTGTCTACTGGATGTGGTAACTGTCTCCGCTTTTAGATTTAGTAAGAAATTTCATAAATAATCATGGTACAAGAGATGTCTTTTTTATCGCATTTGCTTACCTTTTGATGTATAAAGCTCGGCGTTGCATTAAAATTAATTGATTTGTTTTAAATCTGCTTATCAACACTTTTGGGTCATTTAAAGCCGAAACTTTAAAGTTGAAT